TCCCTAATTCTCCCTCAGTGGGGAGGAGACGTCGGGAGGCTGTCGAAATTTCTTGAAAATCTGCTTTGAAATAATTGGAGAAATGAGTGAACTTTAATTAGTTATTTTCAATTAATGAAAATTAATTAATTGAAAGAATTATTTGGTTGAAACTAATTAAATTAAAACTAATTAAAATTTGTTAATTTAATTCAATTGATTGACAAATGAAATTAAATTGGTTATCCGAGAGCATTAAAAAAAATTGGGAGTTTTAAAATATGGGAGCTTTTGTAAATCCTAATGTTTTAAAAATCTAAAGTAATTTAAATATAAAAGCAATTTAAAATTTGAGTTAAAATTTGAAAGCATTTTTAATTAATCAATTGGAGCAATTTTAAAATAAAAATACAATAAATAAAGGGAGGGGGGAAGGGAAGTTTCCACTAAATGACATATGTAACATTGATTGTCAATTCTCCAAGGCTCTCAAACTCTCCAAAACTCTCAAACTCCCTAAATCCCTGGTATAAATTGCTCTCAACAACTAAACTCTCAACACTTTATAGTAACTCCAACACCTTGCAAGCTCTCCAAAGTCCTTCCTGTACGAGCTCCTGTAGCTATCTGTGTTCTATCCTCTGCAATTGCAAGCCCTGGTTGCTCTCAATTACTGGCTATAAACACCTACAAACAAGCAAATGAAGAATTAGTACATCATAAATAAATTAAATCAATACTGGGAAATTGGTAAATCTAAGCTACTACAGGTATAACAAAATACTATAAAGCAAGAAAAGCTAATTACGAAAAAGCTAGTATAACAACAGTGTTGAAAAACTAGGTAGAGCAGTGGACTACTGTAGTAGAAAAAAAACTACGAACACAGAACAACTAAAACACTAACGCAAGTGTCAAACCTCTCAAAACATTGGTGTCAACTCAACAAACATACAATCAAATTCAATATCGCTAGACAACCTTGTTTATAAGAACTTGGTTGTAAGACCCACTACCCGACAACTTTCGTAGGAAAGCAGTAAGTCCGATCTTAGGGAAAAGTTTTAGGTAAAATTTATCTAACTCCTAACCCCCGATTAAAACCCTCGGCCACTTCTAATAGAAGTTGTAAGTCCGATCTATGAGGGAAATATTTAGGTAATAACACAACCCTAAACCCCTCACATAGGCATCCTAGTCTATAGGATTAGGTTGTAAGACCCACTAACGGGCTACTTTCTACGAAAGCCATAATTCCTTATTTAAATCAAATTTTTGGGTTACTTTCTACGGAAGTCGTAAATCTCAATCTAAATTTAAATCTTCGGGCAACTTAGTGAAGCCCTAAGATCCATGTTTTAGAAAAATTGTTAAAAAAATAGCAATAATCTTAAACCCCAAAGGCCCAAACAATCTAATTCAAATTAATGTGCATCTTAATCTAAAGGATTAAGTTGTAAGACTCATCTTTTTCATGTTATTTCCTAAGGGAAATCATAAGTCCTACCAATTAATTAAAAATTCATGGGCATCCTAATCTATAGGAGTAGGTTGTAAGACCCGTCAGCGGGCTACTTTCTACGAAAGTCGTAAGTCCCATATTTTGGGAAAATTACTAAATAAATTGTAATGACCATAAAACCTAAATAATCAAATTCAAACCTATGGACATTTTAATTTAAAAAGATTAAGTTATAAGACCCGCTTTTTTCAGGCTACTTCCTAAGGGAAGCCATAAGTCCTACCCAAATAATTAAAATTCTAGGGTAGCTTTGTTGTAGAGTTAGGTTGTAAGACCCATCATTGAGCAACTCATAAATAGAGCAGTAAGCTCCATTCCAAATAAATATCTCGGGCTACTTTCTATGAAAGCCGTAAGTCCCAAACTGAATCTAAATATCTTGGGCTACTTCCTAAAGGATCCATAAGACCCGCTCCAAACCAAACTATCGGGTTACTTCTAAACGAAGTCATAAATCTCAAACTAAATAAATCTCTGGGTATTCTAATAGATGTAAACCCCAAAACACCTAATCAAACTAAAACCCACACCTAATCACTTCAGTCTACTCGCTATCCTTGAGAGGAGGCAACCCATGGTTGCTAATCAGGTTCCCTGGACACTTCGGTCAATGATTGTTTGTGTTAGTAGATTAAAACTACGGTATACTCGGGACGACGAAACCATGGGATCTTAATCGGGTTTACCTCCACTTCCCTTACTATTAAGACTAAAAATATCTAAAAATTATTCATCCTTAATCGAGAGTTCTCTCTTACGTAGTAAGAGGGGTAATTAACTATAAGTGCTTGTGCTCATAGGAAGTAAGGACCCCAGATCTTTAATCCCTGACACTACCCTCAGGGAAAATCTAGTTAATTTTAATTTGACTTAAGGGAAATGGAATCCTACAGCTGCAAAGCAGGATTCATGCATTCGTGCCATTTTTCTTGAGCCAACATCTATATGCATTCATAGAGGGATATTAACACATCATTCATGCATATGTTCTAATGCTCATATATTTTTTTACATGAATTCTTATTAAATGGGACATGAGCTTTATAAACTATCCACAATTATCACATGAGGAATAAACAATTGCAACATTGTATTTAAAGGCATACTAGGTTATCCACATGAACAAGATACATGGTATTTAAAAATATGTTAAGCTATATATATGAGAAAGGTACATTGCATTTAAAAGCATGCTAAGCTAATCTCATGACATTATAAAGAACATGCTAGCATTTGAAAGAGAAGAATTATCTGAAATTAAAAGACTCACATTTTACTTATCTCACCGTTGTGTGAAATTCACTGTTTGCCCTATCGAGGCCTTTCCTCTATCATCTCTAATATCTAAAAAAAACATAACATTGATCGTCACATACTTCCTTAATTTCTAATTCATAAGAACCTACATAATTCATGTTATTATAATTTTATGAACTGTCAAATATTATTAACATTAAACCTTAATTATTAATTGTCATAAATTAGTTTTTTCGAATTTAATTAAACCCTAATGTTTCCATAAATTAACTAAATTAATCCTTTACCATAATCAAAATTAGTTTTATTTAATTTCTATTTTCGGATTTTCCTCAAAACCTTAATTTTGGAAACTTTTTATTATTATTAATTTCATGATATATGCATGTAAAGACCTTCCCATCACTTAATTATTATTTAGAATATAAGTATTTTTTAATTTATTTAAATTAAAAATTAAAAAAAAAAATTGAGCTAAACCTTAATTCTTACCATTAAAACCCTTCATAGGACTATTTGGAACAATATTAGATAAGGAATTTTTCATGATTAGAAAAACCCTAATTTTTAGAACTTGAAAAATTTTCATAAAATTTAATTAAATTCCACAAGAAGCCTTCTAATATCAATAGAAACCACTTTTGCAAAAGCACTTTAAAAGAAAAAGGAAATTAGAGGAAACCCTAATTTTGAAATCTTAAAAATAATTTGGGAAAAGCTTAATTTTTGTGGTTAAAATCATTTCCCTAACATTGCCTATCACTTTCTTTTAAAAATTCCAAGTTTTGGAATAATCCTAAAAATCTCTCTTAAGGAAATCTACAAGAAGAATGAGAAATCTCTTAGGTAAATCATACCTTAAGCTAACCTTAATCTTCCTCTTGAATTTCCCCCAAGGAGGCCGCCGGAAAACCGCCGCCGCCGAGACTCTAAGCCGCCGCCTCCCTTCTCGATTTGTTCACCCCCTCTCTGTTTTGGCTGAACACGCATGAAGGGACCGAAATAATCGGTCCCTTATGCTCTTAAGGGAAATGGGGAAACAATTGACGCATGTGCCCTTAGGCCTAAAATGTAATTTATACTTAAGTAAACTTCGCCAATTTTTAACATTAAATCCGTGCGAAATTAGGTATAAGTTCTTTATACCAAAACGATTGAAATTTCACATAGAATTTTATAAAGTTAATTTCGTCGGATTCCGAGAACTTAAAAAATTTGACCATTTTTGTCGCAGTGCATCGAAATGCGTGTGATGCTCACAATTTGGTTATTTTTCGGGTTCTACAAATATCTTGACCCAATTAATATTTGTATCAGGTCCGAGTTGACTAGAAAATTCAAATTGACTTGATTATTATTCGGGTTGGGTTAAATGGATTATTTTTGGGTAAAATGTGTTGTGCTAATCTAAAATATTTCACGATCTATATGATAAATGGATCAAGCTGGTTAGGTTTGAGTTAGTTGGGCTTGTGTCGAGTTGGGCTCAGGTCAATTATTTTGTCCCAAATCATCAATTGTTCAGGTATGGGTCAAGCATATTTAAGTCTATTCAACTTTAGGTTAGACTCGTACCCGACCCACCAACTCAAAGTGACACCTCTAATAATGACAATTGCTTGATTTAGTGAAAGAGGATGACGAGAGGATTTTATTAAAGGCAATGAAAGTGTAGCCATGTTAATTGAAGCTTGGTGAAGGAGGTTTCAATGGTAGGGAAGGAAGGGTTCAAGTTGGTTTTTTCTTATTGCTGGAAAGAGGAGAACAGAAGTATGCAATCAAACCCTGACCTCCTATCTTGTAAATCGTCTGCCAAGGTGGCAAGGAGCGAGATTCTTGCATGATGAAAGTGGCTTTGGCGATGTCAGTACGTGAGGTGGGTGGCTGGTTGGGTAGCTTAGGCCTAGTTTAAGTTTTACGTTTGGTGCCTGATTATTCATCGAAATTTTTACTTATAATTTTCAATTTATTGTTTTCTGGCCAGCAATAAGATTTCAAACAAATTCTAGTAGCTCTCTTGTGAATGCTTAAATGATCCAAACTTTGGAAACCAATATCCATCTTCCTTTACCATGTGCTTGGACAAAACTTTTTTTTTTTTTTTTTTTTTTAAGTTGTGGACAAAACGTTTTGAGATATAGTTAGCACCGGGTGACAATGCATTGTTTGTCTCTCTTTATTTCTCTTTATTTTTGCCCATTAAATTAATCATACTTTTCCTTTTGATTTTGAACTCTTGTAGGTCTTGGTAATTGCACTTCTATTAAAGATGATAATGAAAAGGCGATTTTCTATAATTCAGGTATATGGTTTCGTATTTTACCTTTACTAATACCAGGTTTGAATTTTGAAAACTGTTGAAATAAGCTAACCTATATTAATTTGTTCGTGAATTGTGCCATTAACGGAAAACTATTTAACTTATGATTTAAAATGAGCATGTTGCTTTGAGCTCGGTTAGATACGTTGCATGCATGCTTTGTGATATATTTTTTTAATACTATCTTTGTTCTATACAGTGGGAGGCACTTGCACTTCTTCTCATAGGAATTTGTGTTAATCAACTGCGATCTTTTCCAGAGGGTACAACTGTGCTGGGTCTTCCGATAGCTACTGGCGCATATATTTACACATTAATTTTTGTAAGTTATTACTTATGATCGTATAATCTTTATTTGCTTCAATGACTGCCATATAGACATAAAATTTTGGGTTATCATGACTTTTTTTCAAATGTTGAATTGATCCACTTCTTTCATTTTAAATAACTGGTGAAGTAGTGATTATCTCTTTTTATACTTAGAAATTTTCATTTCGAATTTGAGAATTTTTTGTCAAAGTTTAGCTCCTGCCTTGTGCACTTGAAGCACACTATTTTCTTTTCTATAAGTCCTGTTAGGTACAATGGAACTTAATTTTGTAATATTTTTCAATTATCTAGATATAAATCTTCCAAATCAAAGTTAGCTTTGTGCAACGTGGGATGCTTGGAGGAAATTACTAACTAGAGTGTCATGCTCTGCATTCTTATATGTTTCCTTTACAAAAGAAATAAACAGTGCATTTAGATGTATTTCAGGTGGTTGACAACTTCTACTTAGGTGTTGTATATGTACAAACATATCATCATGATTTGTTTACAATGTACAAATCCTGATGGACAAGCTTTCCGTAGTTTTTCTTTGTTTGAAGAATAGCCACAAAGTTGCAGTAGCTAATTGAAGTATCAAACATGCCTTTCTTCATCTTCCTTAACATTAGATGTTTGTCATCACGGAAAACTTTTTATTTAACATTTTGATGTATGCAAACTGATTTTAATTTCATCTTAGTAAAATATTTCCCCTTAAGGCATTTTATTAAATGATTCTCATTTTTTTGTTTTGGTCAAATTTTTAAAATAAAATATCAAAATTATTGCAACCAGTAATGATATATTGTGTGAAATTTCAATATATTTTGCGTGGAGCTTGTAATCAGTTTTTAATTGTTATTTGGCATGGTCAATTCATTTGTGATTGATTAAATTGTAATGACAACATGGAAGTTTTATCATATTTAGTTAGAGATATAAATGTTTGAAGCTTTAGTTTGATATTAAAATATTAGTTTTATGGTTGTGATTGGCTGTGGATGGCCACATTAAATGTTTAATTTCAGGTAACAGTTCCATCGTTGGCCTCTGTGTACAATGAATATGCTTTGAAAAGTCAGTTTGATACAAGCATCTATCTTCAGGTAACTCTTCCTGCCTAAATTTATAAATTGTATTTATATAGATGTCCTTTTGATTTTGAAAAAACTTTTAATTTATAATATTTTTTTAAGCATTCTGTTAATTGCTTTTTAATTTAAATTCAGGCCACTGACTAAGGCATACTTTAATTTGCTTGCAGAACTTATTCTTGTATGGCTATGGTGCAATATTCAACTTCATTGCTATTGTTGGAACTGCCATATTCAAAGGTATGAATGCAAGTCATCTAGCATCATTGTTTCCATAACGGTTAGCTTCTAGAATCTTAATGCGAGTGCCCTTTGGGAATTCGTAGGTTTGCTACATACAAAAAATGCTCTTATCCTTCACAAAACAATGTAGAAAGTCTAATTGTGACTATCCAAAGTATAATGCTCCTGCAAATTACAATGCACATTCATACTGCAACAATTAAAAACATTTTTCTGTGATAAATGTTGAGATTCTTCTGCAAACTAGTGCCTAGTTATTATTTATTTCTCTTTGTAAGCAACCATGATAATTTGTTTCACTTCAAATGCTGCTTTCTGCTGCATATATTTGGCACATTATCATGATATGGTTTTTGTTCCAATCAAATTGCATCTTCGTGCTGGGTTTTTGATATTTGAATTATTTTGGTTGACTGTAATCATGCTACCTCATTGGTTTCATGTAATATGATTTTATATTGATTTCTCATGATGTTAAAATGCATCTGCTGAAGTCCTTCTGGTTGTTATTATAATTTGAGAAATGCTTATCAGCTTTGATTCGTTAGTCTAAGTTTCCTTGTATGGGTGAACTTTTCTTTTGTTTACATGAACTTTTTCGTTATATCCATTAGACTTTTTGTGTGGCAATGCTTCATGTATTATTATAATGCAGCACCTGGTTTTTTGAATATGAAGTGATTCTTATATGGTTTGGCTTTAATTTCACCTAGGGCCTGGCAGCTTTGACATTCTACAAGGGCATTCAAGGGCTACAATGTTTTTAATCTGTAACAATGCTGCACAAGGCATACTCTCCTCATTTTTTTTCAAATATGCTGGTAATGAACGGTCACTTAAACATTTCTGGTTTGAACTTTTGTGATAGTTTCTGCTATCTTCAATAAAGCAACCCCTTTATTGACCCATAATTCGAGAATACATTTTCATCATTTGGAATAATAAGTGATGTCATGTTTTACTTTCCAGAAGAAAACATCTAATCACTTATTTAATTATTTGTTCGTTTGAATTATGAATGATTTCTGTATACATGCAGACACTATACTAAAGAAATATTCATCAAGCGTTGCAACCATTTTCACTGGCATAGCCTCTGCTGCGTTGTTTGGTCATACACTGACTATAAACTTTATATTGGGCATATCAATAGTGTTTATATCAATGCACCAGGTTAGCATTTATCACAGCTTTGTTAGATTAATTTCTTGTTGCTACCCACTACTTCTGACAATGTACTCTGTATCAGTTCTTTTCTCCTCTTGCAAAAATTAAAGATGAGGTCCCAAGCGGAATTGAGATGATGCATGCTCAGAACCACAGGTTTGAAGTTTTGTTTTAATGCTAATGATAAAAAATGACACACCGAGATACTATTTTAGTAACATCTTATGGTTCTGTTATTTCATTATAACATGGACTAGTTACTCTTATTGATAATTCTTCTTGATATCTTTTTATTACTCTTTAGGCCTTTGATGTGACATCTTTTGGTCTTTGATTTCTAATGTAGTTCTAATATAAGATGCATAAAATCAAACTGCAAACGTGTATAATTTGTATATCATAAAAAGTCTTAATCTTTAATAGTTTATTCTACCTTTGATGAAAATAAAAAACTTGATGAAAATCAATCCAAATGAAATCTAGTGGCTTCTGCTAGAAGTTATGTTTAGAAATTCAATATCAAGAAAGCCGTGTAAATACTTTGACATTCACACACTTATTGAAAAAAAGTTTGTATCAAATTTGATTAAAATCAATCATACTCTATCTACTAACAAATGGGGTAAACTTTAAAATATCATGTGTTTTTTGTACATGCCTTGAACTCATATTGATAATAAAGAATTCCCTTTAAATTTCTTGTTGATAGAAGTAGAGTTGCACCCATTGACAAAAATAAAAGAGTGAGTCTAACCTGATAACAGAAGTAAGTTTCAAACTCTAGTAGAACCTAGAAAATATAAACAGATGTTACATGACTTGCGGATTCGATATATGGAAGTCACTTACATGACTTGCGGATTCGATATATGGAAGTCACTTGATCCATTGGAGGGCCATAGATATGTATTCAAAATAGAGGAATCAGGTCATAGGGGATTTGATGCGGGCCGCCGCCGACCGGCAGAGGGAGGGCCGGCGACCCCGGCGAGCTCGGAAGCGGCCGGAAAGGCGGGCCGCGTCGATCGATCCGCCGAAAAATCGCGCGGAGGGACGCGCGCGCGGAGCGGGGCCTTCGGCTTGAGCGGAACCGGTCCATTTCTGGACCGGTTTGGCTCGGGTCAGCCCTGAGCTGGGCGGTTTAGTTTGGGCAGCCCACTAGTGGGGTTTGGTTTGGATTTTTTGGCTTGCTTTAAGTAAGGAATAGAGGGAGATTTCTAGGGTTATGCAAGATTGAAGTTTTCTCTTAGCCTCTTAGTTCTTTCTCTTATTTTTCTAGGGTTTGTAGTGGGAGACCTTGTCCTTCTCGAATTGGACAAATTGTATCTTTCTTTTGTGTTGAACTTGCTTCCCTTTCAATACTAAATGGATTCCCTTCTCTTTTTTATGTTTGTGCTCTAATTTTGAGAGTTTTCCTTCAAGGTTTTGGAGGGTTTGTGCCCTAATCCGAAAATCATCAAAGTGCACAACTCTAGGGATTTTACCGTGGAAAATCTTTGCTTTTGATCTTGTTTGGTTCCTCTCATGCTCATTTGAGAGAAACTAGGGCAAAATCGAATTGGTAAAACCCTAGGGCGTATCAAGTTGGTATCAGAGCTCTCGATCCTAGACGGCATGGCATCAAAGAAGGTAGAAGTTTTGGAAGGGGAGATGAGCCAATTAAAGGAGGAAGTGGGAGAGAAGCTTTCGTCCCGCTCACAGGTTATATCTTTCTTTTGTGTTGAACTTGCTTCCCTTTCAATACTAAATGGATTCCCTTCTCTTTTTTATGTTTGTGCTCTAATTTTGAGAGTTTTCCTTCAAGGTTTTGGAGGGTTTGTGCCCTAATCCGAAAATCATCAAAGTGCACAACTCTAGGGATTTTACCGTGGAAAATCTTTGCTTTTGATCTTGTTTGGTTCCTCTCAACCTCATTTGAGAGAAACTAGGGAAAAATCGAATTGGTGAAACCCTAGGGCGTATCAGGATTCCAGAAACTTTCATAATAGGTAAACGTACTAAGCATGCGTACATAGACTCCCACTTAAATTTCAAACTCTTAGATTCATTTGATTTTTATTTGACTTAAAAAATTGGCTCTAATGTGTTGTTTAGTTGTATTCTCAAACAGATTTGAACCATATTGTTGCACTTCCTGTAGAGATTCATGGGCCACTACAGTGATAGGATTTCATTAGTGCACGGGAGATATATATATATATATATATATATATATATATATAGATAGCGATATGATTTCATTACACATTATAACTTCTGACATAGATCAGCATATTTTTTTAAAAATTATGTAGACTATGTGTTGGATGTGAATCCCAAATGAGGTGAAAATAAACAGATCTAGGCTTTGGTTCATAGTTGATTAAATATATAAATGAATTCATCCCAATTTGTTGCGTAATTATTTAGTCCAATTTTGTAGAAGTTAATTTCTTAAGGATTATTATATAAATTATTTGCGGATTTAGATGGATTATTACATCTCCTGGCCTTCATTTAATATATCTTCTGTTCACTTTGTAGTAGACTTATATTTATCTTTGTTAATGGATACCTTCAAATAATTTCATGCAAATCTGTTATATGATTAGTAAATAATGCAATACGATAATATATATATGTTAGGGGTACTCCTAAAATGCTTATATGTTACATAATGAATGTATCATGTGCGTATTTCAAAACGGAGGAAATAATGTAGGAAGCTTAAATATATGTTTATTAGATTTTATAAAATTAATATCTTTGACCATTGACAAACCACAAAAATGTCTTATTTGGATAAGTAACTTATTTATAGGAAAAGTAAAGCAAATGATGTAAATATCAATGGTGATAAAATTATTTATCTTTTCATCAAGTCAGATAGTTGAAATTTTTATTTTGAATTTTTTTTGATTTTATATCGTTACTGAAACCCTTGATATATTGACACCAATTTTTATTTATCAAATACTTTTTTATAAATTTTAAAATCAAGAACCCAAGAGCCAAAAATTAAATCTACACTAGTTTGATATGTATAGTAAAGTTGATCTCAAATTTTATTTCATATTAACATTTTATTTATTTAATTCTAGGTTCACGTTCACAAATATTTTTTGATAGAGCATATTTTTGTATGGTTTTAGGCGCAATTTTAGTTCTTACAAAATCAGAAGTTGGATTATCTTGTAACTAATTTTTTTCTTCCATCTAAATCATCCTTTAAAGAATATTCATGAACTAAAATGTCTTAAATGCGATCAATTTTGAGCATACTTGATTCTAGTGTTAGAATGTGTTAAAATGCTTTAGCCTTTAGGTGGGTAATCGAAGATTTTCTAGTAGAAACATTAATTGTAAGTGCAGTAGTCTTAATATGAGGATATTTATAATATTTGTTAAAATATAAATCCTTGTAGAAAGCCTTATCTATTGTCTTTGGAGAACTGTATTTTAATTCATATTTAATTTATTCTTTAAGATCATTAATTTAGCATAGATTTATTATATAATAATCTACATTGTCCTTTAAATATAACAAGATAGTCGATGCACTGTAGTTGCCTTTTTTAAAGTTTTCAAATTGTACATATAGTTGTCTTATTATTAATGAATGGTAAATATTCTATGGGTAAATCTTATGTTTTATATCAATTCAGGAATATTTTGTTTTGGCCTCAATATTTTGCCAAAATATTTGAGCAAGGCCCTTTTGTTTTATTTTTTCACGTTCGCCTATTTGTGAATTTCATATATTGTAGCTTTCAAAAATATTCTTTTATCTATCTAAATATCTAATACGAAACCCAAGATTATACCTCCTAGTGAATAAGGTATTATAGTTCTCAATTCTACAATATATATGTTGAGCTTTTCTAGAATCATAGCTAAATAGATTTCATTAAAATTGCATTTGTTTTTGTTAATTAACTCATATATTTTGTTCTAGAAGACATAGTGTTACAACCTTATTCTTTCTTTTTATATTTGATGTAGGATATCTTATGGCCTATATTTTCTAATGCATATTTAATATGAGATTCAAAATGTGAGGCAATAAGCTTGCAAAATTCAAAGGTCCCTAACCTCTTATTATTTAAATGTTGTTTATTACCTTCGATGACAGATGAAAACATATGAATATCAATTCAGAAGTAAATCTAATGGCATGCTACTAGAAATAATGACTTCAAATTTTAGAACAAAAAAGCCACTATATAAACACAATGAAATTCAAACACTTGTTGAAAAGTGGGTTGTCAAATTAGATTAATATCAATCACATTATTAAATCAATAACAAAATATAGAAGAAGAAAATAGACATGAAAAGGGAAGGTAAGCCTCTCACTTGTACAAGGTAATGACATCTCTTAGAATTCCTCAGGCCCCAATTGATAAATAATTAAATCTTGAAAGTAGGAATAGTGTTGAAATTGAAAATTTCATTTTAAGTACTAATTGCATTTTTACACAATCTCAAATCCAAAGTTATAATCACAATCATCCATTACAGAAGAATAAGCAACAAAATTGCATACAATTATTGATATAAGTGTTGACCACTAATCGCCGACTGACCCCACTCGCAATTGCCCACCTCATGCCTGATCTTCCCAAACGACGCAACGATCCCTCGCGTAACTCCACTAATAGTAATAAAACTCTCATATGAACCGCTTGGCCTCTTTTTCAAACTCACGCACGCAGACGCTTGCCCTATCCCGCTATTTCCTATGAATCCACACGTAATACCTACGGTTGCGTCTTCGATGCTAATCCTGCATTCGACAGTCCCGCTCCATTCCCACACATGCGTGCCCAGCATGCTTGTTCCTATGACCCGATCCGCCTACCATTAGCGACCTGGCCCCACACCTGTTTTTGATCTGACTCAAGCCTGCGTCCTGCCTCCTACTCCTGCTCCCCTTTCTGTGTCGCACAGAGAAGTCCAGCTCGCAACTCAGCCTTCATCACTTCCTCCTCCCTCAGCTTCTCAGTAAGGGACTTTGAACTGACCCGCTGCATAGAATCGTGTGACTTCCTCCTGCGATCCGACTCAGACGCCCATTTACCGCATAGAGCATATCCGACCCGATCCTATCTCCTATTTTTTGTTCTGCGCGCAATCATCCCGATCTCTTGCAATCTTGCATTCGACCCGATAACATTCACCCAACAGACCAACTCTTTCACAACTTTGAACCGATTCAATCACATTGTCAGTAGCATTAAAATAAAAATGTATAAATTTCTTTCTTAATTACTTGCTTAAATGACAAATATATTTTTAATTTGAAGACCTAAGCTATCATATCTTTAGATCCGGCTAGAAATGTTTAAATTTAAGACCTCGCGCTGTTGTATCTTAGATCAGGTCGAGGAGGACTTAAATTGAAGAACTCGCACTATCATATCTTAAATCCAACCAGTAAGAATCAAAGGCAGTTGCCTACTAACCTTCCTTCGCGAGGAGGGAATGTCGGGAGGCTGCTGGATTTTTTAATGACAAGGGACTCTCACAATTAATTTGTCACTTTAAATAATAATCAAATTAGTTATGTACAATTTTAATCGATAAAAAATAAAGAGAGAAGAATCATGGCCTACAAAGAAGTTTCATAATGCAAAACAGAAAACTGCGAGGATAGAGAAAAAGGACTATGCTAAACATCTTAAGGACTCTCTATTCTAGTATTCTTGTAAAACTTTATAAAGATTTTCATACATCACTACCTTATTATCATGAAAGATATGACCAAAAACTCTAGTGATTCATATATGGAGAGGGATCTGATGGCCTCCCACAATTTGTTGATGGAATTCAGGCTCATTTATCAACTTGTGCTTCCCATAGAGTGCTTGAAGTAACAAGTGTGGTCCCTAGCAAAATGCAGTTGAAGTATTTCAAATAAATTCATGCCATTGCAATATTAAGGAATTGATTCAAAGGAAGAAAACATTGCTCTGTTTTACTTTGCTAAAGATAACAATAAGTTATGAGAAGAGTTACAGCAGTCCATTGAATAAGATGCTAAAAAAAGAAGAATGATGATTTAGCTCTCAGAAAAAATGATGCTGAGCTTCTTACATTTACATCCAAAATGCTACCTACATGCTCTTTATGGTGGAATATATAACACCCCACAATATCTCTTAGCAGTATTGTAGAATGTCACAGAAGTAAACATAATATTTTAATTCTTTACTATCATACTTTTTATCATCTAAATATTTATATAAAACATCCACTAACATTTATATTTATTACATAAATGGAAACATCTAATAACTCAATTATATCAAAAAAAATATTTATAGAGCCAATAATAAAATCCAAAATAATACACCACTGTACCATCTACATATCTCAGCTATAGAACAAAAAACAAAGCTAAACAATAGAACATAAAATGAAATAACTTAAACTTATTTTGTTTTTGACTTTTTTCCTTTTCTTTTCATGTAGAAACAGCTAGTATGAAAAGAACTGACGCATTATGAGGCTCAATAAGTTTTGCAATTTATATAAAAATTAAATATCAGATTATAAAGAATAACATAATTGAATTAACTTAGAAATATTTGCAAAACAATATAAATCATCTTTTAAAAATCATCATTTCATTCATTTTAATTTTATACAAAATATCAATATTAGTCTTTAAAGATTTCAGTAAGCTTTCATAAAAATGTCAATGGAGCTCAGGTAAAACTGAAATTATCACCGTTGAACAAAATAGAAGTCCCTTTTGCTATGCAGGTATCATATCTCTGGGCCTTTTTTGCCATACTTATAATTGCAGTGTCATATATGGGGACCCTTTTGCCCCACCTGTAATTGTAAGTTTTACATCATTTTACAGTGAAAATTTACTAAATTGATATTCAATAAGCTTCATATATTTATAGTTCATACTTATATATTAGGATTACAAATTTTCACAATAACATTATTGTTATGAAAATCATAGATATGTAGTATTTATAATAATATTTATTTTCAAAATATTACCAACTAATAAAATATTTAAATAATCATGTAATATCTTAATTTAAATCTGCATCATTCCAATTCGCAAGTGGTTGCTCAAACATGAATACTTGGCTGTGAACATTCATTAATAACATCATTCTCTTTCCTTAAATCTTATTAATTGGTAGTTTGCGTGTCTACTAAAATAACAGTAAATACTTTTAAATTAAATTTTCATCACTCACCTTCTTGAAGAGCTGACTCCTCAAATCCTCTACCTCGCACCCTTCTTCTATTGTAAGTAACTTACAATCATCTCTTTTACATTCCATAAATTCCACAATCTATTGCTCAATTAATTTTGCATAACATTACCTTATTTTTGATATAATATATCACCTCAAAACCTCCCTTATGCATATATCTACGTAATTTCTACTTACAATTGGTATACTTGCTTTAGAAGTTTTTATTGCCTTTTTAGAAATTTAAAAGACAATTATGAATATACCAAAATGCTTACCTTCATTCTTTTTTTTCAATTCTCTATTATTCTTTTTAACTGAAATTTCTTCACTGAAATTCCACTCTTAATTACTGCTGTAGTAATCCATTGATCTTAGTAATACACCTAAATAATTCCTTAATGCTTGCTAAAATTAATTACATGTTTACTTACTCAAATCTATACTATTTTTTGATCTTCTATTTGCATTCAGCATTCTTCCTTTTATTTCCTGCACTATACCTATCCTTATTGTACTGCACTATGTTGAAATTTCTTCACAGTAATGTGCCGAATACCTCTTCACAACAGTGCTGCTCCCTCCAATAATTCACTGTGCCGCTCCCTTCTACATTGTCTGAAAACACTGCTGAATCCCACAGCAGTGCTCTGTGCCGAAATACTCTGTAGAGAGCTGTGCCCCTCACTCGCTCTTTTCCTCTGCTAGCTTGCGTGAAACTATTGGTTGTATGAGAAATCTCAGGGTAGTGTCTTATTTTAAAATCTAATATGCCTTTTAAAAATTTACCGTGGAACCTAAATCCATCAAAACTCTCCCCGTCAATAAGAGATGATGCAAAGAGGCCAGAGCAAAAATTTTCGGAGCACGTAAGAAGTTGAGTACTTGCGCCCCATATTAGAAATAGAGTGGATTTTTCCTTATAACTAAGCAGAGGACGCACAACCGAGTATGTCACGAAAAACAAAAACCGAAGCAGCAGAACTGGCGATAACGGTAAGCAGAAGTTGCTGAATATAGGAATTCGCAAGAGGCTCACAACAGGTATCCAAACAAAGGAATCATGAGGCAGCTGCAGGAGATTTGGCTCCAGGTAGCTTTACTATTACAAATCAAACTTTCATGATAGGTTATAGGATCCTACTGAAATTCAAAATAATAAAACAAACTAAAAATTAAATTAAAAGTTTAACTTTAGGCTCTTTGACGTATTTTGCATTTTCGATGGCTCACTGCTTTAAGATTCCATCAATTTCATGGCATCTCTTAGATCTTATCCATGGAATTTTATGGCATCTCTTAGATCCTATCCGTATTGCCTACCTAATGTTTAGAAGAACGCAGTAATTCATTTATAGTCTAGCTCCAAATAAACCATCATTTTGGTTTGGTTTGGATAAATTTCCATTTCATTATGAAAATTGTTCAGTACTATGCAGCATTTTCCTTGTTCTTCTTCTATTAAAGGTGGGTTTTACTATTGTACTTTTTATCTAGTCACCTATAACTTTTAGTTTATAAAATTTTTAGCAGTTCTCTCATTCCGAATTTGTGCTACTTGTCTACTTATTCGTTCATCTTAATTAGATAAATTTTTGCATACCTCAGGTCGAAGGAAGTATCAATTTTAAATATGACTGCTGGAGCAAATGAGGATGTAAGTGTTTTTTCTCTTGAATTAAAGGCCATATTATCACTGTGCTCTATCATTTTTTTTATGCCATTTCTTTTATTTGAGTGAACTGAGTTGCCATTTTTTTTTGTTCAGTCTAACCATCGTAGTGAAGCTGATGAGAGACAGCCACTTCTGCCAATGTGATTTCATGTTGTAAGCATGTCTAATCCTCAATATCTCAGATAGGTTTATGTTACAGTTCTTAACTTGATAGTGCCCTGTGCGTTGTCTATAACGTTCTATCTAAGTCATTTCCCCTTGCATTCTGTCTGACCGTTTCAAACACATTTCCTTCTTAAAAAAATCTGTTAGAAGTAATGACATTCTCATTTTGCCACTTTTATTTTATTTCAGTTTGACTTTATTCTCAACTTCATTAAAGCTAAACTGAAGAAAACTAGAATCGGATGAGATATTGAGATTCTGACTTATATATTAAGATTTTTCTCTTTTGGTGGCTTTGATATGAATTATAAGGAAGGTTTTCACTAATGGGAGCCACATATACTAAACCCTAATAATGGAGTTGTTATTCCTGTTTTCATCATTGTTCAACTTGTTCAATTGGCTTGGCTGTTCGAGTTATCACGTGCTTTGTCAGATTTATTTTTTTCATTCTTCACTCAAAATTTCTTGAAGCTACGATAGCTCAATGAGGTTTGCCTTGAAACCTCTTCGCTGCTTTACTACTGGCGTTATTTCAAAAATTTCTTTGAAACAGCTACACCACAGGTTTTCTAAGTTTTTTTTTTTTTTTTTAATTAGTTTTTTATGACTGTTTTAGAACCAATATTTATTTATTCATTTGTGTATTTATTATAGTCGTGTAATCTTGGGATATTTTGCTGTAGGTTTACTTTAAGGAGAGAGAATATTCTTTAGCTAGATATGCTATATAGTATGAGCCAGTGCTAACTACAATGAATAAAAAGGTTAGCAGCATAGATAGAGAAAGAGAGAATAATCTGATTTGGAATTTTGGCCGACCATTTTCAGCTTATATCTGGCTTTCTGTTTAGCAAGTTGAATGAACGCGGGAGCTTGGTCTGTGGACTAGAGAGGGTGTTGAACTAAGGCGTGCGATAGCTCATTTTGGGAACATGCTATTAGCCACACAGGACTTGCCTTTATTCAAATTATTATTTTTTTATTTTCTTCTTATTTGGCCCTATGCTTCTGCTTGCTACTTTATGCATTCGAGCAAGGATTGTAGCATGTTTTCTATGTATAAATTGTTGCACCAAGCTTGTTTATTTTTGAATGGATGACAAGTTCTGTTCAAATTGTGTGATGTTTTTCATATTACAGTGTAAAAAGTTATTCCTTTTTGACCGAGGCATATTTACATTAACAACGAAATTTTTTTCTTTGGATTTCTAGCTCCAATACAGAACTTGCTCTACTTGTCATTTTCGCTTGAGTTTAAACGTTAATTGCTTCTTTGGTTTGATATTTGATTAGTTTGTGCAGGATTATTAATCAGCTAACAGTAATGATTGTAATGGAATAGGCTATTAGTTATCCCTAAATCCTAAACTCCTAATTTTGGGTTGTCTAATTTTTGGTGCCTCCATCTCATTTGATTCAAAATGAATAGTGCATCTTATCTCTAGGGTTTGAGAAGTTGAGAAGTTGACGTTTTTTTTTTTAGATTGTATAAAAGAGTTTAAGGTTTTGTGGTGTTAAGATGGGAGAAAAATCATTAGGGACTTGATCTACTATATATGGTGAGATACTTATTATTTGGTAGAAGGCAGCAAAAGTACTTTTAAGTTTATTATATGTTACCTTCTTATAAAATGATAATGGACTTATAAGTACATTTTATTAGATATTTCTTCACATTCAGCATGTTGATAGTTTAGTTGTTACTATTAAGTTTATTACACTGCACATGTTCACTTACTTAAGGACATTACAAGTTATTTTACACAAAAAAAATCTCATTATCTATCGTGTTAATCCATAGATGACACTTGCCTTTACTAACAGGCTAACCTAACTTGGAACCTGTGTGAGAACGGAGGGAATGAAGAAATGCTAGAGAAAGATTGCAACAAATGCTTAGAATCTCAATCATACAAAACTCTTGCAAATCTGATCAAAGCACTATGGTTTTGATGATAACAAACATTATTATTTTTGTTACTACTTTCTCATAATTCTATGATATTTTGTTTTATTTTGTGTGTACTAATATTTCAGGAGAACAGTCAACCGTTCACTTGCAATATTGATCAGCTCAAGGAACTTTTATTCTATCCAGTGAACGTACGCAGAGGAAGGTTCGGTTTTAGGCAAAAAAACGCCTGTACCAAAAAACTCGGTACATTGAAAAAAAAAAAAACTCGGTACAGGCGCTTTTTTGCCTAAAACCGAACCTTCCTCTGCGTACCTTCACTGGATAGAATAAAAGTTCCAACTCAAGACTGTATAGATAAGGGTTACAGTATGTATTTTCAATTTGTATGAATTGATTTTCTTTATTATTTATTACAAACCTAGTTGTGAGGTTCTCAACATCATGTGAAGTAGCCTCTTCCTGGTACTGGGAAGATACATTTTTCTGACCTATTTTGATTTTTAATTGAATCCTAGTATGGGGTTGGACTAGGCGAGGACTTAGGCCAATGGGGGTTGAAACACATAAAAGAGGGAGATTGTTGAGCCCAATGGGCTAGTGAAAACACTAGGATTTTGATGATAAAAAATATTATTAGTTATGCTAATGTAAATTGAATATGTAGCACATAAAAGTCGTGATCAGGGTGTGGAATTAATTGAATTCAAAGTTTTAAACATAAGGCTGTCAAGGAAAAAAAAAATGCTCAAAGAAAGCAAGCTTATGAAATTGTAATGTTCAATTTTGGTTTCTTACTTCTTTGTACAAGATTAAGGCTTCGTTTGGGACGGTTTTTTTATTGCTTTCTAAAACAGAGTTTTAGTACAAATATAAAAAAATTTGTACTAAAACTCCGTTTTAGAACGCAGTAAAAAAGCCGTCCCAAACGAAGCCTAAATTGATCTAAATAACAAAGCACAAACACACACAAGTGTGCAAAAACATTAAGGATAGGAAAATCATGTTTATTAAAGTATTTGGATTCTAATTAAATCATACAATATGATTTTACTATTATCATTTCTAAAAATCAAATTATATTATTTGAAAAAAAATTAAAATAAAAATTTGAAATGACAACTCATACTATACGATTCCATAATCCTATATGATTTAGAATTTGAAATTAAAATTACCATTTTTCTATATTTCTACAAATTAGCAAATTTAAAAATATGAATAGTTTGTACTATATGAACACGATTCTTGTTGGACAAACTTTAAATTATTTTTTAAAATATTTGCCTATTGAAGGACTTAAAATATTGGAGTCATATGAGAGTATATTTTGTATTGTATGATCCTCATCGTATAGGCTAAATTAATAGAGAGCTTGTTTAGACGATCCACATTTAGACAGGAAAAATAATGGTTGTGCATAAAAAAAAAATACTAATTATACTGTACAATTCAAATCATACAAGCTAAATAAACAAAGGACATCTTTTAAGGTTTCTAACTATTTGTACTAAAAATACTATTCAATCCCTTTTTTAGAAGGATAATTTCGTTTCATCCAAAACATTTAGTACAAAGCCCTTAAAAGAATTCCAAAACTCACTAAAACTCAAAGAGCTACGTCTACAAAGGAAAATAATGCCTATTGAATAATAGATTTTTTTTTTAAACATCTTGTTCAGGCCTATTTAAAATAATGATTGAATCAATCTTTTGACCCATCATTACTCATGTCCAATTATCCACAAAGATGTGAAGAATGCTCAATTAAGTGTTTCAATAAATGTAAACTATTTTTAAAAAATTAAAAAGAATAATTTTTAAGCACTTTATTCAAATCTACTAGAATAAATAATCAAATATATCTTCAACTATTCATCGATTATGTCAAGCCGATCTCGGGGACGTGTTGAAGAAGGGTTGATCAAGTGATTTAGTAATTTTCAACTATTTTAATAATTTTAAAAATAATATATCAACTGTGTCTGAACTTTGTATGGCATAATCTACATCTAAATCAATATGGTACTTTGATAAGAGTTTTTGGACATATTTCATTATGAAATAAAATTATTGTCATATTTCTTCAATTTCAAACATTATGAGGCTTATAAATTTAAATTTCTTTTTATATATAATACATAACTTTTATATTTATTTATATATGACACTTATATTCAAATCATATCAAAATATAAATATGAAACATACTTTTTATTTTAAAATATATATATATTAATGATATTTTTGAAATTATCTAAACTCAAAATTTTCTTGTACAAGTGTAATATCTTAATTTTATATTTAAATCATACTAAGAAAGTATAAAGAGATGTATTTTATTTTAAATAAATTAATATTTGTAATATTTTTTAGATGGTTTAAAAATCTTAATGTGGTATTTTAAATAATAAAAATTAACATAAATCCATCCATGCGTCGGATTCTTGCGAGTTTTTCCCTAATTTCCTTTGTGCGTAGCTCACACCTCTGCTTGCGCCGAAATGCCTAAAATCCAAGCTCCATAGCTGGATCTTCCTATCCACGCCATTCTACAAATCTAACGATAACTTCGTTCCGCTACTGCCGCCGACGTCGTTTTCTCGGCCAGTGTCTTCTCTTAAGGTAAATCACATTCATATCTTCCTCCCCTTTGGTTGAATCATGCAACGAAATAAGTTCCTTGTTTTGCTGTCTTAATCTTTGGGGATCGATAATATAGACGAAGAAGGGTTGAGAATGTTATAGGTTCTTATTCAACGAGCTAAAGCCCGAGGTCAACTTGACTCAATAACATCCGTAACCAGCACACCTTTGCCATCTTGGTCTCCAATATGACTGCTTAGGTTGTAGAAGACCAAAAACGGAAGTCTGCAACGTTTTTCACGGAGAAAATTTACATCTTAAGTTAACTAATTGGAACTTGGAAGAGAATTCCTTATAACCGTGGTTAGGAAAAAGGTGTGATATTACATGAGTAGATCCCTTACTTTTGTGGTGATTGCATACGTTTATGAACATTCTGAGCGACTGGATTGTTTTGCAATTGTTCGTGGGGGGGGTAGGAGCAATTAGGAGCAATTATTACGTCAGGTCAGTCCAGAGACCAATAATCACGCGCCATGTCACCTGGAGCTCGGTATTGAGCACTCGGTATTGCCCGGTATACTCATGGTGTAGAGGGTCTTTTATGGAAGTGGAAAATGCATCTGTGAGGTTATGGAAATGCCTTTTGCAGGGAGAAAGCTTTCACTGATTATATAGCTGAATAAAAGAAAAAGCACATGCAATGCAAAGTTCTTGCATTAAATGAATGATTGTGGCTCTTTAATGCGCATCAAACACAAATTTTTTCCTAGATTGCAATGATCCAGTTTGACTATTCAGCCATCAAGCTGTAAAGGTATCATCAATAATGTGCTAGAAGAGGTTCGGAATGCAGCAATGATCTACAAAAGAGAAAGAAATAAATTGTACATTGCAATATCACGTAGATTGGGTGCTGGTTGATTATAATTGGTTCATTGGATTACATTCAAGATTAGTTTGGCAAATTAGAAGGATCAACCTATTGAAGTTTTCATAATCATAGTGATTTCAAGTATCATTTTATGGTTAATCAAGCACCTTATTCGAATATACTCGACATTAGGGATGACTAGGTTTAATCACCCAAGTATTCAAGCATTTCCTTAAAGCACCTCAGCTTATCTCACCAAGGCAATTCGTCGAAGGCTCGAAGCATTCAAACTACTTTCAAGTACTCAGTCGATTAGTTAAGTTAGCAAATAAATATTATGTATTCAGCTCTACTAAGCATTTAATGTGCATTCTCTATGTATTTTTTAGCTATATGCCTTTTTTATGTTATAGATGTGTTTTTCTTGTTTATACTTTGCATGTACTTTTTTCATACTTTTGCAGCTTAATTATAACCTGTTGTATAGTGCTGTTCTTTGACCTCAATCAATAAATATTGTTTTAGGGGGAGAGCTTTGGACAAGAAATTTTTTTTTTTTCAATTCTTTTGCTTTTACCAATTTAATAAATTCTCAAAGATTCACACTCTAGATTCTTTTTCTCCTTCTAGCTTACTGTCGCTTACCCTACCATTCTTGTTATTAAGATTTTGGTGTTACTCATGGACAAATTTGAACCAAATATAAGATATCAGGAGTTTCTTCCTTCTGCGGAGAATATGATGATAGGTAGTGCTTTAAAATTAATCAAAATTTCCATATGTTTAATACTCATTTGAAATGCGACTAGACCTGCAATGAACTAGTTTGTCTATTTTGAGCTTCACTTAGAATTCAAAATCCTTTTTGGGTTTGATTGAACTCAATGTAGTGTAATTTGAGTTGGCTTGATATGTTACTCAAGATTTGAGTATATATAATGAGATATTGTTGATTTACTGTTTTTAGTTTTAAGTATTTCGAAACCTACATAGGCATAATGAAGCAAGTTTGTTTTTTACTTTTACTTTGTGTTGAGATTAGTGGTTAGATTGATTGGAACTCTCTTTTGGACTTTAGTTCATGCATTTATTTGGTATAGGGTGAATGAAGGTGAGTTCCTATTTTTGTGCTCCCACCTCACAAAAATAAGAAGTAAACTTCAATTATAAGAGTTTGGAAATTGTCTTTAATTTGGCTAATAATAATAATAATAATAATAATAATAATAATAATAATAATAATAATAATAATAAATCAATTGGAGAAGCGAGACAAATAAATTGGTAGGCATGGAGAACCAAAATTTTGTCACTAAAAAACAGTTGATTGAATTGGAAGAGAGACTCAATAAAATGATTTAGGGATTAGAGCATGTTCCTGGAACCGCTACAATTGTTGAATCTCTAGTAGGATCTTTAGATTCAGTTATTTGTCGATAGCTTTCAATTTTAAGGGCATTAACTTCAAACAATTCCAACAAAGACAAAACCTACATTACTAAAAGCAGCGAAGAATCTAATCTTTATAATGTTGAGAAGCCTAAAACTTAATTGGCATAGTTTTTTTTGAGGAGAAATTATTGAGGCAAGGCATTCGATGGAAATTAAGATTTCTTATTTTAACTCTTATAAAGGAAAAAAATCATATTTTGCTTTGAGTTGGCTATTTTTCTATTGAATGCTAAAGATGCTCGTGAGTGCATGTTATTTCTTAGAACCTTTAAGGAGTCACCAATTAGGCTGCTCTCTCATATTCCACTTATAGCCATTACTTATTTTGCCAAATCAAAAAGTAATACATAACATAGTTTGCCAGTTCTTGATGGTGGGGTTTGCAGTCAACAGTGTGAGCTACACACAGTTAGAGTGAAATATGAATATGCTTAAGTTTCCTTTGATATAAAATAATGAAAGCTCACTAGAGATGTAAGTATACATATCGACCAAGTAATAAAGTGATAGAGATGAGTGCTGATCCCTCAAAAAAATGTTCTGCTTAATTGCAATTAAATTATTACTGTCTAATATAAATGCACAATTAATCTTGTTGAATATAAAATTTTTATTTTTTAGTTTTTGTCATTTAATAGAGACTTTCAAGAAAATTTGATACTAATGGAAATAAATTGTTTAGACTAATGAATGAAAAATAATATAGTTTTCTTAATAAAGACTCTTAATTTTAGATATGAATCAAAGCATATGTATCCCTAGATCTCCGTCGAGCTTCGTACAATTATAATATCTCTATAGAACCTAGAAGGTTTAATATCCTATGTTTAGGTATGTTAATATTATATTTCAATACTCCAATTTGTTCAATATTCCTTCGTTGAGACAATATGTCATACTTGATATTAACTACACACGTGATCATTGTCTGAATTAAATTAAGAATGAGAGATATTTGAAATATCTATAAACTAATTAATGGGACAATAGTCTACATTAGTATTTGCTATGCGTTCACATAATTAGTCCAAAACTCAAGAGATTTGGTCATACATGGATAACACAAAAAATAAATTCATGTTTATTTCATTCATAAAGAGACAGAAGAATTAATAAAGATAATTGTCATTCGGAAGGATCAATTGATATTCTCCATATTCCTTTGATCCAAACAGAGGGAGAAAACCCAGGGAAAAAGGCGCGTCTAGCCCAAGAACCGAACGGACAAGAAGCCCAACAGCCAGCATGAACCAAAACATCCAAAAATCGAACAAACACCAAGAAAAAGGCTCGGCCAGCCCAAGAATCCAAGCATTCAACAGTTGAATGACCACCAAGGAGGCACGACAGCCCCAAATAATCCCAAGGCTAAGAACTCCAAACACCAAACAACAAAGGGGTAATGAGCCAAGCCCAATAAGAGACAAAACAACCCACTATTAAATGCCCATTTGAAATTTTTTTTTGTGTAAATCACTTCTTCAAATTGGCATACAATTGATGCTCCTTCAATGTCATTAACACTACCTTCAAGTGTTCCACATGCTCCCCCTCAGATCGCCTATACACTAAAATATCATTGAAGAAAATCAATTAAAACTTACGGAGGTAGGGCTGAAATACCTTGTTCATAAGCAATTGGAAGGTAGCTGGGGTGTTGGTAAGCCCAAAAGGCATCACTAAGAACTCGTAGTAGCCTTCATGAATCATAAAAAACAATTTTTTGGATGTCAATGGGCCGCATTCTAATGTGATGATATTCCTATTTTAGTTCAATCTTGGAGAATATCATCGCTCCATTTAACTCATCCAACAACTCATCAATAATCAATATAGGAAACTTATCCAACATTGTTTCCTTATTAAGAGCCCGATAATCTACATAAATTCTCGAACTAATATCATTCTTCTTCACCAACAACAATGGACTGGAAAGGGACTATCACTGGGACGAATGATCTGAGCCTCCAACATCTCCATGACCAGTCTCTTAATTTCATCTTTCTGAACCTGTGGGTATCGTAGGGTCGAACACTGATAGGGGATGCCCCCTCCTTCAGGATGATGTCATGCTCATGCTCCCTTGGGGGAGGTAGGTCTTGAGACAGCTAGAACACTGCACTAAATTTTTGTAGGAGTGGCTAGACTATCTCTGGAACCTCCTCCTCTTTCCTCATACTTATTCCTCCCTCAAGGCTCTGTAGCTCCACCAAGAATCCCATTCATGCTCCTTGGATTTCCCTCACTATGGTCTTGAGAGTAACCCTAGTTTTGGACATACTAGGATCTCCTATGATTCTCACCTTTCTCCCTCTCACCATGAATTTCATAGTCAATGCTTTCCAATCCACCTTAGTTTCCCCCAATATATGTATCCACTTCATACCCAACATTGCATCTGTGCTCCCAAACTTCAAAGGAAGAAAATTCTCCTTCACCTAGATCTCCTGCAGTGTCACCATCAACCCTAGGCAGATGCCTTTACTCTTCTCCATCTTTCATGTTCCCATAATCACCCTAGAATAGCCTGTGTCAACTAGCTTCAACCTCAATCGGTCCACCACTTGGTTGGAGATGAAGTTGTGGGTTGCCCCACTGTCCATCAGAACTATCACTGATTTTCCTCCTATTTGTCCCCTCAACTTCATGGTGTGATTTGAGGTAAACCCCACCACTAAATTTAGGGAGACCTCCGCTACATCTAGGTGTAAATGCTTCTCCTCCTCAAGAGTCTCCTCATCACAAACTGTAAGTACCTGCAGCGAACGATCATTTCAGCGATGGCCTGACGCAAATTTCTCATCACAATAGAAACACAATTCCCTAGCCCGCTTCTCTTAAACTTCTGCCTCAGTCGGCCGCTTGAAATTTCCCCTTGGTCGTGTTCCCAATCCCCCATCCTTGGGTACTTCTCTCTGAATGAGCATAGATGGTACCTTTGGTGCCAAAAAAGTAGCATAGTCTGGGATGTAGCTCCCAAATTGTTGCCTTTGCTGCTTCTCTCGAGTGAGTTTTTGTCTTCCACCAACTGGGCGAGCTCCATAGCCTTCCCAAACCCTAATGGCCTCAATAACCTGATGACAGCCCCGATCTCTGGCTTGAGTCCCTTCATGAAATTCTCCTTCAACACTATCTCAGAAAGTCTCCCCAATCGGCTAGAAAGATACTCAAATTTCTCCCAATAATCCATCAATGTCCCTTCCTGAATAAGAGCAAAGAATTGCTCTTAAAAATCCCCTTCCCGACTGGTTCGGAAACGTTTTAATAAACTATCTTTGAACTCCCTCCACGATCGAATTGGTTCTCTCATGTCTCTCCACTGATACCAAGACAAGGCCTTCCTCTCCAAGCATAAAGCCGCCGCTATAAGTCTCTCTTCCTTGGTCTTGGTCAACCCATTCGTTGCAATGTATCTCTCTACCCTACAGATCCACCCATGAGCATCTTCCATCTAAAAAACGGGCATCTTCAGTTTTCTCACTCTCAAATCCCCTCCGCTCCAACTTTCTCTTTCACCTCTGGCTCCTCCCATATATTGATTGTTGTGATCTCTCCATTGTTCTCTCCCACCTCTCCTCCTTTCATAGATATCCTCTTCATCAAAATCAGCCTTCCTTGTTTCTTCCTCCCAATTTCTTTTCATTCTGTATCCTCCACTCTTTTCCCTCCTAGTTATCGGTTCAAGAGGTGGCATATTTTCCCTTTCACCCAAGATCTCTACCTCTCGATCATCCCTTATTGTGATGATATGGAGGTTTCCTCCACTTCCTTGGCCACCCACCGGTACCCTCGCGTCTGATGTTGCCGATTGGGTGTGAAGCTCCAATATTTTCTTTATCATGTTCTCTATATGTCCTCTAGGTTAGAAAACCTTTCTTCCATGGATGAAGTCCCTTCCTCAACTTCATATTTGAATTGACCAACTTCTCCTTCTTGTTTCTCTTCCAAAGCATCCACTTTCTTCGACGTCATAGATCCTGAATCTTGCTCTTATACCAATTTGATAGAACTTGATGATCAAAACAACACACAACAATATAAAAAAACAGCAACTTGCTCCAAATAGATATGGAAATAACACAAATAGAGCATTTTTTACTAATTTTCAAGCAAAGCAAGACAAGATACAAGTTGATTCACTTTTGAGAGGTGAATCGTCTCTTCCACAATTCCTAGCAGCTGCTAGGAATCCAAACACCTCTAAAAACTGTTGTAGAAATTCAAAACATAACATAAAAAACTCAAGCCATCATAATCTCCCCCCTTAAACAGCTCAAATCCCCTAATAAATGCCCCTTACATCTTTTCCAAAGAGTCCTCCCTTTCCGAAAGAGTTTTCTCCTAAAGCTTCTTCTCCTATAGGTGATAAAAGAGGTCTTGGGCATCACCTGGGTAGATGGACTGCCTGCCAGCTGCATCACACTCATTCATGATCTAATAGAGAGACCTTTTAGATATATCTTTAGCTTACATTAGTTGAGGACTTTGATCAAGTTACTTGAACTCGCCGATAGTTATATTGAGGAATATAACTATTTATCGGATGCTTTAAATTCTAGTTGGTGAAGGAATTGTTACTTTGTAAGGGTTTTCTTTCAATGTCAACTGCATCAATATCATCTTCAATGACCACAACATCGGGAACATCTTGCCATGGGGAGGATAAAATATCAAAAATTTTGATGCTAGAAGGAGAGAACATTTGACACAATTCACCAATATTCATTTTTTACTCCATAGATATTATTTATGGCTGAAATGGTAGAAACCATCTGAAAAAAAGTTTTCTCAAGTGACTTACAAGGCTAGAGGTCCTGCTCGAGACCCTTCTAAATGTTATATTTTTCATAAGGATCATGATCATGATATGGATATTGAGGATCGCTGACATCTTTAGAACCTAGTCAAAGAATAAATGAAGGCTAAAAATTATGGTGAAATGATAAGGCAACCAATTGAAGAATAGAAGAATGAACTAGTTCCAACTCAAGCAATTCATATTGTTGAAGTGAATCTAGCTATACTGGAGGAGCAAAAGCAAATGTATCTTGCGAGTAAGTCTCAAATGACTCTAATCATGAGAGGTAAACTTGACCATAACATTAAGAACCCCATATATTGAAATTACACCGATCACCTCCATTGAGGAAAATAGGCCATTGAATGAAAATCCATATAATGTGCTATAATTTTCATCTCCTAGTTGCAAACTATCAAATCAGTAGTGTTTTAGTTGACCCGAGAGACAAAAGGAATGATTGCGTTGCAAGTCACTTGGGGAGAAGGAGAAATTTTATTTACAATCATGGTTGACTGCTTTATAGTTGATGCTCCGATCACTTATAATACAAAATTTGATCATCCTTTCAACTCATTCTGAGCTGTGGTCTTGACATATCATGTTGCAGTTAAAAAATTTATTTACAATCATGATTGATTTGTTTATAGTTGATGCTCCGATAACTTATAATGCAAATTTTGGTCATCATCTTCTGAGCTGTAGTCTTGACCTATCATGTTGCACTTATATTCCTTGCAAAGGGATAATTTATAGTTTAGGTAACTTTATTACAATCAAGAGCATGTAACTTAAAGGAGACCAATAACATTCAAGAATAAGGTTTATAGAGGAGCTTGGCTCATGACTTTTGAAGTGATAGAAGTACCCATTCTTGAATTTATCATAATCAAACTCTCCGCATTAGCACTTCATTCAACAGTAAATATATAAAAATTAATACACATTATTCATGAAAACGTTGAAGTTTTTACCTGGTCTGCCACTCAAATGCCAGGGTAGGTGTAACTATGGCTTATCACAGACTTAGTGTATTGAAGAATGCCAAGCCTATTAAACCAAAAATTTGACAAGCTGTTGCAATACCAGTTGAACCAATTTGTTATTTAGTCCAAAATCTCTTTGAAGCTGAATTTATTAGAAAAATACAATATCCATAGAGGATTTCAAATATTTTCATGGTCTAAAAGTCAAATGAAAAGTTAAGAATGTGTATTGATTTTACCAATTTGAATTTAGCCTATCCAGAAGATAGCCATCCAATCCCTAGATCAGTGCACTAGTCAGCTTGGTAGTTGGTTTTCTAGTTATGAGCCTTTTAATGCATTCTTCTGCCATCATCAGATAAAAATGATATTAGCTGACCGGGAAAAAATTACTTTTATTGTTAATGATTGACTACTGTAACGTTATGCAATTCAGCCTGAGGAATGCAGTACCAACCTATCAAAGAATGATGGAACATGTTTTTAAATAACAAATCAGGCAATATTAAAGTTTATGTTACAACAACATGTTCAACATAAAGCCTTGATGATTATTAATGAATAACAAAACCACCGAGCAACACATCCTAGATTTTAAGTGAATTTTTGAACATTGAAGGAGTTGAACCTGCGTCTTAATCCACTAATGTGCATTTTTGCAAATAGATTAGAAAATTGAGTTTTCTTTCACCTTAGGACTAAGAATGAATCCCCGATAAAATGAAGGCTATTCTAGAATGTCCCCTCCAACAAGGAACTTCAACAACCTATGGGATATCTTTCATTTTAAAAGTGCTTTGTTCTGTTATATATCTGCAGTTGATCCCACTAATATTCTCAAAAATCCTTATTGCTTCGTCAAATTTTAAGTTTTATTCTGCATTGCAGATCTTTAGTTTGGATGATTAGCACTGGTATTTGTTATGGGAACGGATGATTCCAAAGACTTACTGAAAAATGTTGACTGGAAAACTGTTGGCAGTCTTGATGCTACTGACCCGAGTGGTCTAGCTACAAGGAAAAGACTTCCAAAAAAGATTAGGCAGGTCCCAGAGTTTTATTTTCTTCCTAGAAGGGCACTACCTTCTGCACTTGCCATCTACGGGGCTTGTTGTGCTGCTGGAGTTGGTGCAGGAATGCTGTTGGAAGTTTGGGTGAAGAAAAGGATTAAAGGTGCGTATTTGTTATCCTACATGAGCTGTATGTGCATTTTCATATGGCGTATATTTCCGTCAGTTGCATGTTAAACTAACCTTATTTAGCTTGATTCTGCTTGGGATATTATGAGTAGTATTTGGAATGATCAATCAAGACTCCAAAGCATAGTTAATGGTGAGAAATCTATACAAAATAGTTAAAGTCATATAAGCCAGTGAGCTGTTAATGGTGAGAAGTTGAGAGTTGCAGACACTAATACTAGCATAGGAAGGAGAAGACGGAATGCTAACCCAAGTTGGTAAAAATAGTAAAAGAGGAGGGCGCTCACAGCAAATAACATGAAGGAATGAGAAGTACCCACACAAACTCCAGTTGAGATGGATCAAAGATAAAGAGAGAGGAAGAGAAAGGTAAGAAACCAGTCAAAAACCCTCATCAACTTTGATCATAGGTGAGGATAAATGAGTGATAACAAGCAAGCTCAAGTGAAGTTTTGATCCTGCATAGTTGAGCCTGACTTTTCTCCACATGCAAGGAAAACCCTAGGTATAAAATCTTATTTGGCAAAAAAATTGAGCGTAGGTTGACTTTAATTGAATACAGAAACCTATACCAAATAGTCCCTAAAAATAGCTGTCAAGTGATAAAATTTTTGATATTAAAAACATGATTACATCAAAGATTCATGTTTAGTCCATATCTTTGTATGTTGGCTATGGACCTACTTCTAACAGTTATTTAGAATTGCGGAAATCTAGCATAAACAATTCTAGGCTGTCGCACAACTAATACAACAATTAGAAAGTTATTATTCCATGAGGATTGGCGATGACTAATTATCAAAATTTTGTTAACACTGACTTTTATTGGATAATCAAATTAAATATATTGTAACGTAAGTTTAAACTAAAAACTATCAGTGGAGCTACTTAAAATAAATATTAGCTAGAAAGGAATCAGAAATAGAGACTTTTAGGGATTCTGATTTCACCCTAGTCCATCCTTTTCAAAATAATTAATTCAATTAAACTCTGCTTGATTCCAATTGCTTTAAGCTAATTCTACAAAGCCATTGATTGCATCATGCTACTCAGCGCTACGGAAACTCTTTTACTACTGGTAACTCATTAACATATCTGTGATTAAATAAATCCAACAAAATTCATAATAAAATTGAAACCCAAAGGGCCACATAAACAAAATGCAAGTATCTCTATCACACAATCAGTTTAAAATGAATATCAAAATCAAATAATTGATGGCCAGACAATTATAGACATAAAACCAATTTGAAATACATGAAAAAATCTTGAATGAACAAGCAATTCAATTAAACCAGTAACATTCAACATGTCACACTGGCTACATCGTGGTCCCTAGAAAAATTAATTTAGAAACATGCACATCAAACATTTCATACCTGACTGCGTAACTCCCCAGAATCTAAGTTGGAAGAATTGCACATCTTTTTATTTTTTTTTCAGGATTACCAGATGCCCATGAGTGTGCACACAGAAAAATAAAAACTACTACTTAAAGCAAATTTTCTTATGAAGATTGTTTGTCTTTTCACGCCTACAGTGTTGACGTATATGCTTAAAGAAACTTCTTTAATCTTGAATATATGATGTTTTCTAAACTATTCTCAACCCTCATTATTAAATTTTCTTGTTTAAAAATTTCTGATGATATGGTTCTTGTGAAATGCAGAGGATAGCGATGTCATTTGGGAGATCTGAAAGTGGATAATCTTGTTTTTGCAGTTACATCGGCAGTGCTTGAGATTCTCTATCTATGGAGTTATCTTTTCATGTAAGATTCTGCAGTAATTTGCACAAAGCGGCAGTCATGTTTTGATTTTCTTTGCAGCAATTAGCGCTCACTCCATCTTCAAGTGAGTGAAATACAAACATGTATATTTATTTTCTTCCAACTATAACGTTATTCCCTGACAAATTGAAGGCTCATATAACATTGGGGCATTGAAAATTGCGAAAGATAGTAGAAATGGAATTGGAGCTCTAGGAATTCCATATTAGAGTTTTATAGTTGGAAATAAATATGGAAGCTTTGAAAACCGGTCATATTACAAATCAGGACATATTTATGCTTGTGTTTAAGAGCATGGTTATTGTTGCGGTCTAGAATATACGCGGCGATAGAGTTATAATTCTACGTCTTAGCGTTGCACGGATATCCAGCTCACACACAGAGAACACAATATTTTTTACGTGGAAAATCCGAAAAGGGAAAAAAATCACGGGGCCTAGCCCAATGAAAGTGATTCCACTAAAAGTTAAGTACAATGGTCTGACTCGTCCTTGGAGATGACCAGATTACAAATATCAACTGAGAGTTTTACAAAAGTCTAACGTCACTCCACTGTCAGGTGATGGTTTGGAAGCACTCCGGTGTCAGGTGATGGATCGGCAGTGTCACTTTAGTGACAGGGGCTACTTCAGCTTCGGATGGCACTTCGGTGTCCCTTGATGGTCCGTCGGTGATGCGATAGAACTCCGGCGGTGGTGCGGCAGCGCTCCGGCGGTGGTCGAAGATGAGCTAGGCGGTGGTGCTGGAGTTCTTGAAGAGCTCTCTCTAATCTCTAGCCAAAGTCTCGTTGGATTGGTCTCGTCGAGTCGCTCTATTCGACTATAAGCATGCCACGTTTGGAAGCTGTTTGATAATACAAATTGTAGTTTGAACCTTACAAAAGCGCTTCGGGTCCTTGATTTGGACTCATTTGGGCTCGGATTGAGTTGATTTTGGTGTCATTGAGTTCGTGCTTCCGAGACGCTCAGTTTGACTGTAAGTTTGATGAAATCGGAATTCGAATGATCCCAATTTCAATCTAATAAAGTTTTCAACTCAATTTTGCCTCGAGATTCGTGCTTGATCAAGAAAATTTTTTGGTGGCATATCAGTTATAATACTGGAATACGAGTATTTGTTCCTTCTCCAAATCAAGATGCAATTTGTTTAAAGATATAATAGTAATAAAAAATAAAAAAAAATTACTGGTGACATTATTATTAACTATCTTGAAATCTTGTTAGCCACTAGTGGTAGCTTGCAAACCAAGCAGAAGATGGTAGTGCACAAGTTTGTATGTACGTGAAAATGTTGGAGTAGCTCTACTGGGAGACAAGATTAAAGAGTATTGTTTTAGATGGTTTTGTCACATAAAACCATGCAGGCCACTCTCTCTAATCTTATCTTCTGCTGGAGCTACTCCAATCTTTTCATGTTTATGCTCATTTCGTATCCTATCTATAAGGGTAAAGCCAGTTATCCACCTGAGCATCCTCATCTCTGCCACAATTAACTTAGTATTATGTATCTCTTCTAACATAAGATAAAATAAAACTCTTTTGAGATCTATATACTTTTATTATCTTTAAAATAGAAGAAAGATGTTTTCTTTCTAGCTCATGTTATGATAATTAAATTTTTACTAAGCCGAATTTCACGCTAAATTCAGCCCGTTGATCTTAAAGCGAGTCAATGGGAGTATTTAAAACAAAAACACAATTTTTTTTTATCTTCTTCCTCGTTCCTGCTGTTTACGCCACCACCCTTGTAATTTTAATTAATGGTGGATTGTGATAAGCTCTGCATTGATAAGTAAGAGCAGAAAATTCCCTGCAGCTTCCATCGAAGGCACTCGCTCCTAATCGCCTGAATCATCTCCACCACTCAACTAATGGACTTTCTAAAAACTCACTTAATATACACAAATATCTTGATAAATCAAGTAATATAATAATAGACTAGAGTATCGATCTCATGAGGAATATATGCTCACTTACAAATAGTAGTATTGTCTGCTTAAATTATAAGAATTATTCTATTCAATAAAAATAGATGTTGTGGAGATTTAATCACAACAATAACATCATTAAGCTTTTATCCCACTATATGGGATTAGCTACATGAATCCTTTTTTTCCATTGTATCCTGTTAAATGTTAAATTTTCATTTAAATCTAATAAAGAAATGTAGTTTCTAACATTTTCTAACCAAGACTTGTTAGGTCTACCCCTACTTTTATTTACATAAGTCAAATATAATACATCTACTTTCTTAACCGGGTAATCAGAAGGTTGCCGTTTTATGAGACCAAACCATCTATAGTGTCTCTCTCTAATCTTATCTTCCATTAGAGCTACTCCAACCTTTTCACATATATGCTCATTTCTTATCCAGTCTCTAAGAGTAAAGTCACTCAACCACCTGAGCATCCTCATCTCTGCAACACTTAACTTAATATGCTTCAATCACTTAAATAAAATTAGATAAATGTTATGAATACATTATATGAATATAATGTTGTGCGTTGATGAATATAAGTAAAATATTTTTCTAATGAATCTCTTTTAATTGTGATGCTATTCAGAACATATACATTCCTATATCTCTGTCGATCTTGTCATAATAAAGGATGTCCACTGACTTCCTACAATTATGTAATCTCCTTAAGAGCTTAGTGCATTTCATACTCAATACCTAGATATGGTGCATACTAATTCAATATTTGTGCTTATGCCTGCTTTCCTCCGCTGAGGCCCCACATTACACCTAATTTTAACTACACAACTCTAATAAATTTTTCTTTTTGGATTTCACAAACTTTAACGTTCGAAAATACAGGGCAATTGATATATCACCTATAAGTTACCATGACTGAGAACAAATCTTGATGAACACTTGAATTGGAATCTTATGCAAATAAATTATGGACAATTTGGACTCTAATTTGTGCAAATTTATAATTAAGTTGAACGTCTTGACAAGACGAACCCAACACTCTAAAATAAGCCCAATTGGACCCCAACAAAGTGAAAATAAATAACTTCAAATCATAAATTAGGTGATCAACTAATCTTCAAATATGGTATGTTTATAGACGGATCTAGTGGCTCGACAAGACAAATCCTACGAATCCATGATAACCTAATTCTAATATCATTCAGGAATGTAATGTTGAAAAATGATCTATGATTGAAATAATTAAAATTGGTAATATGATGTAATGCACCGCATATGATTACGATTTTTCCCATATTTCTAAGGCTTGCACACCAAAAAATCAATAAATAGGCTCTCACACCCTACATGATGGGATCTTTGGCGAGCGATTGGAGAATGCTCCAAGGATTCAAGAATCCTAGAGCTCCACACAAGAACAACCACTAGCAAACATTCATTGGCTAGTCTCCTCCATAAGATTTCAACCCAAGTGAACCTCCCCCTGGCATTCAATCTCTAAACCTTTGTCCAACCAACATCATCGGACCTTCATCTTCCAACCATAAGCAGATCTCTTCCCAATCATTACAACCGACCACCGCCATACCATAGTTCAACCACTAACTGTCGTTAATCCTCGACCCGACCGACAACCATCATTTGACCTTCTTCTGCCTATCGTTATAGTCCGCCAAACATTCTCCAGACCGCTGCCATCAGACTTCTAACCTCTATCACCTCCTTACCTCAATCTTCAAACCATTGTAGCCTGATTACGGTCCCTCGAACTCTCGTCGCTCAACCACAATCATTCCAACACCCGATCACCAATATAACTTCGGCCGATTCGCCAAACAATTGAATTTTCACTTTCTCCAAGTTAAGGGATGGGTCAATATTTGTAACTTGCTAACAAATTGTGAAATCTTTTCACTTTGGCAAGATTCTGTGATTTTTTTCTTTTTTTTTACGTAAATGTTTTTTTTTTGTTGTGTTTTCTAGCTCTCTCAATTGTTTGTTTGTATGCTGGATACTCTCTAATATGAAAACTCACTCTACGGCCATGAATCTACTAGCCTGCAACAATTATAATTACCGCATTAAATGTAATTGGATATTGATTTTTTTCACTATAATAATGCAGTGATTTACATAATTTATTGACCTCAAGTCTGTAAATAGTGAGCCAATCTGTTTTAATGGTTCATTGCATCATGTCAAACCAATTTCTTCCTCATCATGTTCTTCTCTTTGTTCTCTTTTATCTTATTATTCTTCAACCCTTCCTCTATATCTCTAATTCTCTATTATTCTTTTTTTCTTTGTCGGCAATAGTTCTCACTTTCATTTATTTTATAGCTTTCTGTAATTCCTTCAGCTGAACATTAACAGTAAAATTCATCTCTTTCATTAAAGGAAAAAAGAAGAAGAAAGAAATGGTCCCAAGCTCTGACCATCTGATGGCGTACAATTGGTGCACATAATATCGACACCATGTCGTTAAGTTTTGCCGGTCATATCGGCAATAGACCTCACATGGGACTTCCATAGCTTCACAGACTTTGACTTCTCTTCTTTGTTCTTTTTCTCATCATTATTACGTCCATATCTATGCGTAGTGCGAGTGGGTGGCGTGGGGCAAATTATTCTGTGGGGAGGCCGGACGTCATCTAGAGTTCAATAAAAATACGCACGTCATCACAAAAGTGTATTGCCTCGGCACCGAGCACGGTACCGAGTGATAAGGAGCGTTGGTACCGCATTCGGTACCGAGTGGTACCGGAAGATTCTCCCGTCTGATGTCCGCACAGAATAATCTCGATAAAAATTGCTGATTGTCATCATTAATTATAAATTAAAATTTCATCCAATAACTACATATTAGCATGGTCTATTTTCTTTTATATCAATCACAGACGAAATTTTATAATATTTATTCATTGTATAGAAGTTTATTTTCGATGTTGTTAAATATAAGCTGAAGTTTTAAAGTTTCACCTCTCTATTTCATCCAAGAGATCTTAAAGAAAACTGATCCCAAATGAAAACTTTGAAGAATGGAAATATATCAGTACGAATTGAAGGCTCTGATGCTAATCCTGTTGAGCTATAAATTAAGGAAAATTTTTTCTTAAAATAACGTTCTGATTAAAATTTGATCTAAATGAGTTTTAAAGATACTAAATTGTCTTTCAATTTGTCATATTAATCATCCATAAATTATACTTAATATTTCATCAAAAAATTATCTTGATCAGGCATGAATCTTGAAGCAAAATTAAATTTAGAATCATATGAACTCCGATCTCAACAAACTTTCAATCGAACATA